CACGATCTTGTTGGATGCCTCTGCTTGGCCATTGCCTTGGGGGTATCTGGGAGTTGACAGGTGCTGCTTGATGCCATACTTCGCAAGGACTGTGGTGATCTGTCTGCCCATGAACTGAGTACCATTGTCGGTGACTATTGACTGCGGGCATCCGAATTGGCAGATGATGTTCTTCCAGATAAACCGTTCGACATTAGCTTCCTTGGTAGAGGATAAAGCCTCGGCCTCGATCCACTTGGTGAAGTAATCCGTGGCAACGATCATCATCTCCTTGTTGGCAGGTGCTGTCGGCATAGGTCCCACCAAGTCGATGGCTCATTGCATGAAAGGCCATGGACTGTTCTGCGGATGGTATTCCTCAGCTGGCAAGCCAGGGATCGGCTTATATCGTTGGCACCGATCACATCTTTGAGCATACTCCGTGGAGTCTTGGCGCATGGTAGGCCAGAAGTAGCCTGTGCTGAAAGCCTTCTGGGCAAGCGATCTACCCCCAGCGTGATTTCCACATTCGCCGTCGTGTATTTGGCAAAGAACCTCGAGCGTCTGCAGGTACTTGATGCAAGTAAGGTGAGGGCCAGAGTATGATCTGCGAACAAGCATGTCACCTTTCATGTAGTACCTCGCAGCCTTCTGTTTGATTTTCCGAGCCTCGGACTTGTCCTTGGGTAAGTTTTCGTTAACCAGGTAGTCAATGATAGGGTCTTGCCAGCTAGGATCCTCATCGATCTGCATCAAGTTTGGCTGTTCTGCCTCTTCTATGCTTGGCTGGTCAAGGTGCTCGACCGGGATAGAGCGTCTGAACTGGGTATCAAGCGCTGATCCTAAGCTCGCCAGTGCGTCTGCGTGCGCATTCTCTGCTCGAGGCACTTGTTGGATGGTGAAGGTAGGAAACGCCTTCAACAGCTCTTGGACTTTGTCAAGGTACAAGATCATCCTTGGGTGCTTCGCCATGTATTCTCCTGAGGCTTGATTTGTGATTAGCTGGGAATCTGAGTAGATGGCCAGCTTCTTGATTGACAGCTCCTTTGCCAAGCGCAAGCCAGCGAGCAATGCCTCGTATTCTGCCTCGTTGTTTGAGGCTGGGAAGCCAAGCGTGATAGCTTGCTCCAACAGGGTTCCATCCGGAGTGATGATGACGACAACTGCCCCAACTCCTTTTTGGTTCGACGCTCCGTCTACGCGCAACTGCCACATGTCTCTGGGTTGGTCAGGTTCATTGGAGGTCTTGTCTGCTCTCGAACTTTCCTTCTTTTTGCTGACCAGCTTCTCTTCTTCAGACGATGGCGTGAATTCTGTGACAAAGTCTGCCAAAGCCTGGGCTTTTATTGCAGTCTTCGACCGGTAGAGGGGGTCGTATTGGCTTAGCTCTATAGCCCACTTCATGAGTCGTTGAGACGCGTCAGGGCTGTTCAGGATTGACCTCAAAGGAAAGTCAGTCATGACGATGACTCGATGAGCTTGGTAGTAGGGTCGTAGCTTTCTCGCAGAAAATACAAGGGCCAAAATGAGCTTCTCCAATTTTGGGTAGCGAGTCTCAGCATCGAGAAGGGCTTTTGACGTGTAGAATATCGGATGTTGGGCCCCCAGTTCTTCTCGGATGAGAGCTGAGCTGACGGTTAAGTTGGACACCGCCAGGTACACGAACAAGTCTTCACCAGGAACTGGCTTCGAGAGCAGAGGAGGTGAAGTGAGGTAAGTCTTTAGATTCTGGAAAGCTTCTTCGCACTCCTCATCCCATTTATCTCTTTGCCCCTTCTTTAAAGCCTTGAAGAATGGTCTGCACTTGTCGGTGGATCTCGAGAGGAATCGGTTGAGGGCCGCTGCTCTGCCCGTCAGACTTTGTATTTCCTTTACTGTTGAAGGTGACTTCATCTCGAGAATGACCTTGATTTGGCGTGGGTGCGCCTCGATACCTCGTTGAGTTACTAGGTATTCCAGGAATCAGCCGAACGTGCACTTACTTGGATTCAACTTCATGCGATACTGGCGGAGCAGGCTGAACGCCTCAGTGAGGTTCTTGATGTGGTCTGCTCGCTTAGGGGCTTTGACCAGCATGTCATCCACGTAGACTTCCATGGTCTTGCCGATCTGCTCCTTGAAAATTTTATTCACGAGCCTTTGGTAGGTTGCTCCGGCGTTCTTCAGCCCAAAAGGCATGACCTTGTAGCAGTAGGTCCCTCTTTCTATGATGAAAGAAATCTTCGCCTTGTCATCTTCGTACATTAGGATTTGATTATAGCCGGAGTAGGCGTTCATGAAGCTGAGCAGCTGATTGCCGGAAGTTGAATCCACGAGCTGATCGATTCTCGGCAATGGGAAGTTGTCTTTAGGGCAAGCTTTGTTGAGGTCGGTGTAATCGACACAAACTCTCCATTTGCCTTTTTCTTGCTTCGCCACGAGTACAACGTTGGCCAGTCATTCTGAGTAGGAGACCTCTTCAATGAAGTCGACAGCTAGAAGCTTATCGATCTCGGCTTCGATGATCGCAACTTGCTCGAGAGCGAAGTTGCGTCTCTTCTGCACCACGGGTTTGCTGGCAGGGTTGACATGGAGTCGGTGGCAGATGATGTTCGGATCGATGCCGGGCATGTCAGATGGCGACCATGCGAACATGTCTTTGTTCCTTTGGAGGAAGGTGGTCAGCTCCACCTTCTCGTCTAGGCTTAGGCGCGAGCCGATCTGCGTTTTTTTATCTGGCTGGTCAGGATCGAGGGGTACTAATTCAACGTCTTCCTCAGGCTTCCAACCTTGTTCAAGGGAGCCTTCCGGGCGGATTCCCTCGTCTCGATCCTTCTCGTTTGGATTCTGGCGCGAGCCGATCTGCGTTTTTTTATCTGGCTGGGCAGGATCGAGGGGTACTAATTCAACGTCTTCCTCAGGCTTCCAACCCTTTTCAGGGGAGTCTTCCGGGCGGATTCCCTCGCCTTGATCCTGGCTCCTTAATTGCTATTTTGATGTAGCAACTCCCTTCCCGTTCGGGCTTGCTTGTCTGCTGGGAGTGTTTCCTGCCACGTCAGTAGCTTGCATTACTGGTGTGAACTGTAGTTGTTTGCTCATCTTGAGGCCTTGGGCTGTGCATCTCCTTGCCATGGCTTGATCACTGTTGAAATGCCAGATACCGCCTCCAGGGATGGGGTAGCGGATCTTCTGGTGTAGAGCAGATGTGATGGCTTCGATCTTGCTGATCCATGGTTGGCCCAAAATCCCGTTGTAGGGTGAGACCTCGTCGATGACCATGAAGGTTTGCGAGCAGACCACTGGGGGTGAGTGGACGTCAAGGTCAATCGTTCCCACAGTGATCGATGTGGCCCCATTGAAGCCGGTGAGTGACCTAGCAAGTTTGTTCATCTTGGGCTCCAATCCCATCTGTTGGATAACAGATAGTTGCAGGATGTTGGCTGCACTTCCCTCATCCACATGAACTCGCTCGATCACAGCTTGTTCAATTTGGATGCAGATGACTAGGGCATCATTATGTGGCAGATCAAGCCCGATCAAGTCCTTCTTTTGAAAGCCGATGATGGGTGAATCTTCAATGACTGGATCGATAGTTAGGCCTTAGGAGATATAAGTCGCTCCTTGGTGGTCAGCCCGGACTCCTGGGAGTCAGCTAGAATGGTGTTGATCCGTATGACCTTTTGGGGAGGTTCCTTGGCAGCCGTATCACGATCCTCGATCTGCTGGATGGCCTTCTTTGCAACGAATTCTGTGCAATGGCCATCTCTGACCAGCTCCTCAATGTGCCTTTTCCAGGCGTTGCAGTTGTTTGTGTAATGACCATGCTCCCCATGGAATGCGCAGTACTTACTGGCATCCCTATTAGACGGGTCTCCCCTCAGAGGCGGCGGTCTCCTCACCCACGGCTTGTCCTTCACTTGTGCCAGGATCTGGTGGATTGGGATAGTGAACTCAGTAAAGGTTCCTGTTTATTAGCCTCCCTCAAGGGCCGAGATCTGCGCTTGTCTCGGGCTTTATGCTCAAACTTGTTACTTTTTTGGCTTGCCTGCCTTGTCGGGTGATCAGCTTGCTTGCTGGCCTTCTTCGCCGCAATACGGTCATCGTCCCAAAGTGCATAGCGCTCTGCCGTCGCAAAGACCTCTGCCAAGGTTTGGCTTGGAGTTATGGCCAGCTCACG